GCGTGCAGAGCAGGCCGAGGAGGGTCCCCGGGCAGCAGGAGGAAGGGAGTGTGGCATCGCCAGGGCCGGGCAAAGTACGCGTGCCAAGACGGAGGCAGCAGCCCATGAGGTCAAAGATGAAGAGAGAGAAGGGACCGTTGGATTTGCCAATACGCAGGCCACTGGGGACAGACGCTCAGCTACAACAGGCTGAAACGAGGAGAGAAAGCAGCGTAGTCATCCCAGAGAAGGCATCAAAGCCCGTGGAGAAGCAGGAAAAAGGGGGGACAGCGGGGTTCAGGGACAGGTGCTGAAGAGGGGAGGCAGAGAACGTTCCCGTGCTCCCCCCAAGCGATCAAGTAGACTGGGGGAGACTGCTGGTCGGAGGAGCCCCAGGGCGAGTGCAGAAGCAGGGCAGAGAGAAGTCAAGAAGGGCAGGGAAGTTTCCAGAGCTGCTTCCTGTCCACCAAGCAGGGCGAGACCCTCGGCTGAGAGTGAACCAGCAGGTGTGGACCCAGGGGAAGTTTAAGGAGAGAAGGGGTGGCATAGTCTTTTTGGGGAGTGGGGAAGCGCGGACAAGCACGCTCGCTGCATATGTGTGGAGTCTGTGCTCATGAGTGTAAAGTGAGGTCAGGCGACATGACAGGGACACACCGGAGTGCCTAGCCATGACGCCGCCCTGTGGGGAGGGGGCGTGGCGGACCCTGGCCCAGGTGGCCCTTCCTGTGGGAACACTCTGCAGCCTGGGGATGTGGCCTGGGGCACGATACAGAGCAATGATGCCCCTCTCCCGCAGGCTTCCGGGACTCGTCTTGCATCTGGCCTGCCTCTCTCTTGCAGGGTTTGGACATATTATGCTGAGGGCATTGCTCCATTTAATTGAGATATCAGGGAAGTAGCTGATTAATTTATAATAGAGTTTATTATTAAAGATGTTGTCTAAGTTACTACTCCGAACGCTCGGAGAGCATTCATGTCTAAATAAATATTCTTGTGTATGTGGGCACCGATCTGGATTTGCCAACAATCCCATGCATGTCATGTGGGGACATCACACGGCTGGTGGGGACCTGGAGGAAGCTGAAACCGGATGAGATAGGCCAGGAGGGCAGCAAAGGGGAAGCCCCTCCTGGGGTGGCCTGACATTCAGTTGATGAGTCCCTGAGCAGATATCAAGTACCTGCTGTGGGCCAGGCTCTCTTCCAGCTCGGGGCGGGCGGGGGGCGGGGGAGTTGGCGGGGAGGGAGGAAGGCCCTGAGAACAAGCCAACTGGTCTCCCAATGCTCTGGGGCGGGGGGCGGGGAGGAGACACAGACACACTGGGGACTGGTGTGGGCCAGGGCAGCCAAGGGGGAAGGCCAGGGGCCCATGGGAAGCCCAACTGGGCTCCTAGACTGGGCTTAGATGGGAAGGTCAGGAAAGAATGTCACCCAGAGAAGGTGACCTCCAAGCTGAGAGCTGCAGGCTCAGAGGGACCAAGAGGGTGGGCCTGGCAGCGCAAGCAGCTTTGGCAGAGCCCAGAAGCAAAGTGGCTCGGTGGGCTGTTAGGGCCGTGAGGCCGGGCACGTGGGTGAGGGAGCCACTGCTAGGGGGATAAACAGGACCCCGAAAAGGTCTGGAACGCTCCTAGGGAGTCTGGGCTCTGTCCTGAGGGCAAGTGGGCAGGAATCACGTAACTGTAAGGAAGAAGGCAAGAATCAGATGTGCCTGATCTGTAAGATCTCTCCGGCTGGCGTGTGGGGGACGAGAAGGTGGGAGGCAGGGAGTTGGGGAGAGGCAGCTGGAGGTCCCCAGGCGACAAGGATGTGGCCAGGAGGAGGCTGCTGAGGTCAGGAGGCAGGTGAGCAGGTCGCTGGAGGGGTGGGAGCTTTGCTGAGATGGATGAATTCACAGCCGACCCTCGGACGCTGGAGAGCCCTGCCTCAGGAGTGGGGAGGGACTGGGGGTAACTGGTGGGGCTGACCCACTTAGCATTGGCCCTGGAATATGTTCCCACAGAAAGCAAACTTTGAGATTCGAAAGGCTGGAACTTCATGACGCCCATCAGCAGGGAGGCAGACAGGAAAATAAATCCCTTATCTTTAAGTATCTAAAACATCCGAATGTTTGTCCGGACAGAGACTAAAGGCTGATTCTGACCGTCCCTCGAGCCCTCTGACCTGGGGAGCACCCCATAGAGTGGGTCCGCTTATTCTGAGAACCGTGACCAAGAAGCCGAGCTGAGGCTATGTTTAAAGCTTGCCCAGAACTATTTTTAAAGACCAGGCTATTTTTAGACACGCTCCCGAGAACCCGAAGCCTCTCTTGGTAGCATATTTCAGGGTTTAAAAAGTTCCTCCTTACACATAACCTAAATCTTTCCAGCTCCAATTTAAGCTAATTTCTTGCTCTGCCCTCTGAGGACAAGGGGGTGAGCTGGCTGGCTTCTTCTCGAGGGGATCCTGTGGGAGCTTGGCAATTACCGAGTCACCCCTCAACCTTGTCTGCGTGGTGCTAGATCATTGCCATTATTCTGCCCTTCCTGCAAAGGTCTCCCTTTCAGACCACTTGAGTCATTAGCATCAGGCTTGTTTGGATTCTGCTCATTTCTCTATTCGCCTTTTAAAGTGAAGTGGCCCAAATCAGAGGTAGTTTAGTAGAGGCCCTTCCCGTTTCAAGAACTGGGTTTACTGAACCACCACCCGCCTTGTCTGCCCCAACCACCTCCATCGAGCCCCGAGGCAACGAATGGGCTCAGACCCTCCCTGCCAGGTGGGGGTCTAGAAGGAGTCCCCGAGGCCATGACCTCAGTTCCTGGTGAGTCTTGGGGTAGCACAGGACAATTTGGTGGTGGGATGACTTCTGATGTTAAAAATCATGGATTTGTGCCCCCAACTGCCCCCAGCGTTCCCTGCTATCCTCCTTCATTTGGGTAACTAGAGAGAAGAGCTCAATGACTTTGGAACACAGATGTCACAGAAGACTGGGAAAACAAGAGTTCAAGTTCCAGCTTTGCGGATTTCCAAAGCCTGCATGCTGGCGCTCGCTGGAAAGGTGTGGAAGAATGTGTGATGAAGCAGATGCAGCTTCTCTCCCCTCCGCCTGGACACCAGGTCAAGTGGCCTGCTTGCGGGGAGTGGGAGGAAACGGAGGAGGAAGAGAGGACAGTGGGTCCCAGGAAAGAATGAATTCAACTATGCAGACGCGAGCAGAGCAGCCCCTTCCTGGACTTCCCCAGGAGCAGGGGTGCCGTGGGGCAGCCCCTACAAAGGGCCCTCTCCCAATCTGAGGGGACAGTAGACAGCAGCGGACATCCTGGCAGTCTGGCCATGTGCGTACATAAAGACACAGCCAGTGCAGAAAGAGTGATGTCCTCCTGGGGCCTGCTCCCATGTCTCTTCACATGCACTATCCCTATTTCGATGGCCTTGAATGTTCATAAGCACCCCAAGACAGCGGGCGGGCCCTCACCTGCAGGATGATGGTAGGAGGAAGGGGAGCAGGCACCCCAGGCCGTGCCTGGGTGGGAATGAGGAGAGCAAGCTGGAGCCCTCCAAGACAGAGCTGGAAGCCACCCCTGACAGGTCCACACCCCAAGTCACAGTTCTGGCCCTTTCTCCCGCTGCCTTCTGCATCTCTACCCAAGAAATTCACACGCCCCAGGAATGTGGCCTTGACATTCTACCCAAGCCCTGGCCTTGGGTTATGTCTGTGGAGAACAGCCTCAACTCCAGCATGATGCACGATACTTGAAGCCCCGTCTGCCGAGGGGGTGCCTTCTCAGCGGCTCCCAGCCAGCCCCACCCCCAGCTGCTCAACAGAGAGCCTGAGCACCCCCTGTAAGAACAGGGTCCCCGAGCGGTGGGCGCCAGGCAGAGACAGCCAGTGCGGACTGCTCTCTCAAGCCTCGGAGACTGCTCAACTCTCCACCTGCCCCACTAGGCACTGTGGCCCCAGAGTGAGGGGGCCCTGTCATCGACTGGCCAGGCCAGGATACTTGAGAGGAAAGGGGGTGCAATTATCAACTACCCCGGGACAACTCGATAACTGTGGGAGAAGAGATGAATGAGGCAATGAGCCCCCGATCTCTCCAGGGACCCCTGCCACCTGCAGATGGCCCCTAACCTTTACCCTGGGCTCTCCCTCTGCTAGGGACCTTTCCACAGCAGTCCTGGGAGGGTGTCCAGTTCACAGGTGACAAACAGAGTGTCTGGCAGGCCGACAGTGGAGGACCCAGGGGCAGAATCCCTTCTTTTTTGCCCAGCTTTCGTTCATCCCATGTGTAACTGTGGAGCACCTGCTAGGAGCCAGGGCTAGGGAAAGACGACTAAGACAGGTGTGGGCCCTGCCTGCTTGCAGCTCTCATGGGGGACCAGGACACAGGCAGAGAGCAAAGGCCAAGGGCCAGAGAGTCAGGAGATGGGCAGTGCAGGGGCCACAGGAGCTGACCACCGGAGTTCTCCGCTCTGGGGGTCTGGGGAGGTGTCCCTGGGGAGGGGTGTTGCAGCTGAGCCCGAAGGGCGAGGAGCTAACCAGGTCAGAGCTACCCAAGTGTGGGGCACACCTCCCTCGGCTGCCCAAGCTCATTTTAGACCAGAAGTTCTAAACCTCAGCACTACTGACATCTGGGGCCAGATAACCGCTGGTCGTGGGGTGGGCTGTCCTGGGCTTTTCACGATGTTTAGCAGCATCCCCGGCCTCTACCCATTCTTTGGATGCCAGGAACATTCATCTCCCCTCTCCCCAAGCGGTGATAACCGAAAATATCCCCAGAGTGTGGGGAGAGGGCAGCCGCACCCCGGGGGAGGGGGAACCACTGTCTGAGATGCAGTGGTGATGGTTTTTTTTTTTATAATGGTGATGGTTTTATTTTCCCAGTTTTACAGTTCCCTTCTATTTATTGCAAGGACTACTGGCTTTTCATTTCCGGTAGTGATCTGAAGCTTCCTTTCTGAATACATTTAAGTTTAAAAAAAAAAAAAGGGAGTGATTTAGAGGAAAATGCCAAGGAAGTGACGTGGCAGCCTTCGTGAAGGGAGAGGCACACGACAAAGCGTGAGGACTGGCGGACCAGGTGAGAGTGGCGGCCAGGCGCCCAAGGGGGTGCTGTAGGCTGGGGCATGTCCCATCAGCTGCACACCCCCGTGGCAGGCTTGGGAATCTGGGGGGCTGGGGGGGTGCGTCCTGGAGAGCACACACTCTCCCTTGGAAGCTCAAGGCCAGCGTTCCTCCAATCTGCCCACCGATTGTCTCTCTTGGGTTGGGCACCAGAGGAAGGAATCGGCTTAACTTTCGGAGCCCTTGTGGCATCAAAGAGAAGAACCTGTAAACACTAGAGGCATGCTCTTTGAGGCAAGATGCTCGCCTTAGGAAAGGCACCGGGGGCTCTGAAATCACTGGGGGGTGGGCCGCTCACCAGACAGTCCCATTTCGCTGTCCTCCTGGAGCATCTGCTCACTGGGGCCTCTGCGCGGGTCCCTCCCTTTGGCTTCTCTCTCTCTTTCTGCCTCTGTCTCTTCTTCCGTTTCCTTCTACCTCTGTCTTTGACTCTCCCTCCCGGTCTGGTTCTCTCTCCCTGTCTCTCTCCCCCAGGAGTATCTAGTCCGTGCACCCACGTTCCAGGCAGGAATACTCCATGTGTTCGGGCCTCCCCCTCACCTCCCATTTGGCCCCTGAGGGACCCTGGCTTGCACAGAGAAAACTGTGATGGGTTTGGGGCCCCCGCCTCACGCCTGGCCAGCCTCGAGAACATTCCTCCCAAAGCTACTCTTCCATCCACCAGTCACATTAGCTGAAATGCAAATCCTATTCTTCTGGCCAGTTAGATTTCAGTGCTCTGGGCCGTCACACTTCCCTGCAGTGACACCGGGGTACTAGCCAATGAGTTTCACTGCCCAGGAAACTGCCTGAGCCCCAGGAAAATGAGCTGAGCGGCCTCCTTGCCACAAAAGCTCCAGAGAGCAAAACCTCCGGGCAGCCCTCCCCTTCCGGGGGCCCCTCTACAGTTTGCAAAGCACTTGACCATCCTCTCGTGGCCCGAAAGATAAAGGAACGTGTAAGACAAACAAGGTCCCTGCCCTCACGGAGCTGATATTCTTAGGAAGGAAGACAGAAAATAAACACACTTGAAATTCAGAGTTTAATAAATGCTATGAAGGAAAAGAGGGCATGAGGAGAAGGTGAGAGTTAGTTTGGCCAAGGAAGTAGGGGGCCGGTCCCTTTGGGGAAGTGATGAGTAAGCTGAGACCTAGGTCTCAGGTCTGTGCTCAGATTCGGGGCAGGGAGGTGGGAAGTGCACTGTGAGGCGCTGCTGCAGGATCCCGAGGACATGGGGGGGTCGGAGAGCCGTTGGCCTTGCCTCCTTGGAAGCCCAGCAGCTCTGCTGTCCCTCCTGCAGGCACCCGTCCTCCTGACCTCTGGCTCAGGGGTGCTCCCAGAGAGGTGCCTCCTGGTCCACCCCGCGCCCGGGACAGGAGCCCAGATGAAGCCCCACTCAGCCAGGTGATAAGAAGACAAAGCTGGAGTGCGGTGGGGCAGCAGAGCTTGGACTTGGACATCACCCTCCGACCCGTGCTAAGAGCTCCCGCAGGGTTAGCATCCAGGGTTGCCTGGGTCTGAGCAAATCTCAGGGAGGAGGGGGGGTGCTCGTGGAGGATGGCCAGGTGGGGCCCCCGGGAGCCCAGGGTGCGCCATGACATCGCTTCTAGACCTGCACTTCGTCACCTTTGCTGCTGTTGGCCCTGGTGTCCCTGCCTGAAACCATCCACTTGTCCCCTCCGTACTCATCTTGGGTGGGAGTGAGTCTGCCTAGCTCTCTTCTGAGGAAGGCCGTGGGAGTCAGAGAGGTGCTCCCATCAGGGCTCCCTGGTACTCAGAGCGGAGACCAGGCTGTGAGGCCCCCAGACCTCAGACTGCGAGGAATCAAGGCTCAGCTGGGTTTGTGAGCTGCTATGGCGCAGAGGCCAGTGAGGGGTGGCTCTATGTAGGTCCCGGGGACAGCCCGCAGCTGGAGCTCCCCCAGTCGGCCCTGTCTGCCCCAGCAAGGCTCAGCTGCCCTGCTCCTGACCCAGGCCTCCCGGAGGTCGGGTCTCCTCACCTTCCCTAGGCCTGGCCCAGGAGTGGCCCTGTGTACCCCACCCGGTCCCCCAAGCTGACAGACGCCTTCCCCAACCAAACTGCCAATTCCCTCCCAAGCAGCTGACTGTCTTCTAGGGCTCTTGGGAATATACCCTCCCAATCACCCCACCCCTGCCTCCCAGATTAGACCATTTCTCCCATCCCCATATACTGGCTGGGCCTCTTCCCTCAACCAGCAGACCACTTAGATGCTGTCATGGGGGGCAGGACAATATAGACTCTGGAGTCAGACCGCCTGCATCCAAATCCTGCTTTCAACACTTACAGACCATGTGATCTGGGCAATTCTGTTAAATGCTCTGTGCCTCAGTTTCACCACCTGGTTGTAGGAATGAGCCATGAGCACACAGAACAGTGCCTAGAGCATAGTGTGGAGTGGATGTGGAGGTGTGGAGGTGTGATGGCTACGCTGACCACTGCCGTGCCTCACACCAACCTGACCCCAGGACTCCTGTTGCAGTGCTCCATCTGCTGGGTCAGACATCCTTGGATGCTGACACATGCTGACACACAGAGTCTGAGTTCTTCCTGTCCTGAGGACCATGCCATCCCACTCCTGCTAGTTTTCCCCAACACTCCCCAACACCCCTGCTCCACCACTCTGAGCTCACTCTGCTCACCCACCAGAGCATGGAACAGAGAGCTGTGTCCCAGGTCAATTATAATACCCTTACTGATACCTTTGCTTGGACATGACTTGTCCCTGCAAAGGGAGTTCAGGAATGATGTGTGTGTCCTCATGGAGGAGAGCAAGTAACTGGGAAGCGTGGTGGCAATGTGAGAGATGACTTTGGCAGACTTTGAGGAAGGAGGAAGGCTGTGAAGGGCAATGCCTGGGCTACATGGTGACTAATATGAAGCTACCTTCATGAGGTTCTTGACTGTGCATGCAAGATAGGCATCTACACGCACCCCCTCATTGACCCTGCTGGGACATTTTATGAAGGAGGAACTGTTACTCTCTCTTTAACAGATAAGGAGACAGAGGCTCAGAAAGGTTAAGGATTGTGTGGAGAGCCAAGTGGGCTAGCTCCAGAGTGGGCACCCCTGAATATTTCTCTGCTGCCTCTGGAAGGGTCAGATTCTCCAGATAAAGGACACCAGCACTGCCCTCCCAAGCAACCTGAATCTCAGGAGAAGAGGTATGACTAAGCATGATGGTAAGAAAAATGGAAATGTGGCTGGGGAGGAGGAGGAACTGAGAGCCATCAGTGACCCAGATGGTGACCCAGACCTTGCCGGTCTTGTCACTGGTTGACTCTTATGTGGTCTCCACCCTAGTGGGTCTCAGAGCCCACAGGCCTGGCCAGGGTGTGTAGTCTTACATGGCAGTATATGGTGTGGCTCTATCCAAAGGGGGGAGGATGGGGAGGGCACAAGCCCCTCATTCCAGCCTGCTTCCCGGACCCCCAACACACCTACCCACAGACACCACTATCCTTCAAGTTTCAAACATTGGCCTGACACCCACCAGTCATCTCTGGACAGCCAGCAATGTCTGTCTGGCCATCCAGCAGGGGAGAGAGCACTGGGTTGGAGTCGGACCCACCTGGGTTTGAATCTCAATTCTGCAACTTCCCAGCTGTGTGTCCGTGAAGAAGTCACTTAACATCTCTGAACCCCCATTTCCTCAACTGGAAAGTGAGAATAATACCCAGGCATATCCACTCATACAACCAATATTCCTTGAGTACCTACTATGTGCCAGATATGTTTCTAAGTCTTGGGGACACAGTGGAGAGCAATACAGAGTCCCTGTCCTCATGGAGCTGACAGTCAAGTGGGGGAAAAAGACAATAAAGATGCAATTTCCAGGAGAAACAGAATGAGGAGACAGAGTGGCTGGAGAAAGCTACTTCAGATTAGATCATCAGGGAAGGCCTCTCTGGGAAGGGGCTTCAAACTAGAATCTGAAGGATAAGGAGGAGTTGATCGTGAAAAAGCCTGGGAACGTCCCAAGCAGAGGGAACAGAGATTGCCAAGGCCTCTGGATGGGGAGAAGGGCCCAGTATGGCTGGAGCCTATGGAGTGAAGGGGTGAGGGGGTGTAGGAAGGTAGCAAAGGACCAGTTTGGGAAGGGGTTGGGATTTTATTCAGAACACAAAAGGAAGCCACTAGAAGCTTTTAAGCATGCAAGTGACACTTCCCCCACTTAGTCATCTGAGACACAAAAGCACAGAGCACACAGGGCATGCTTGGTAAATGTTGGTTGACTTGTATGTGGTCTCAACCCAGTGGGTCTCAGAGCCCCCAGGCCTCGCCAGGCCTTGTAAATGTCACATGGCCATGTGTGGCTCAGCTTTACGCAGAGGGGGAGCAAAAGGGGGCAGCAACCTCTCCTTCCAGGCCAGGTGTTCTCCGTGCTCTGTCCTTTGGCAGATTCTGCCAGCCAGCCACCTTCCCAGAGATAAATGGTGGCCAAGCACACACTCAACTCATTGTCTCAAAATAGCCACCAGGGAATTTCCAACACCTGGGAAAAGCACACAGACGATACCGTTTGTGAGAAGAGCTTTCCAAGTGCGAAGAATTTCCATCAAAGGGAAGTGTCCTCCAAGGGGCTCTTAGGCTCCCCAGCCATCTGCAGCAGCAGAGGCTGTCTGGAGGGAGGGAACCAGGACGGAGGGAAGACGGGAGCCTGGGGAGACAGTACAAACCTTTAGTGTGAAACAGCCAGGACAGGACACCAGGCCAAGGCAGGGACCAGTGAAGGCAAGGGCATGAAGGATCCTCAGAGGAGGTGAGCAGGAAGGTCAGCTCTTGGGAGGGGAAATTTGGCAATGGTTGCCAAAACTGAAAATGCACCTTCTTTTTGACCCAGTAATTCCACCACTCGGAATTTACCCCCAGACATATTTGCCCAGGTGGACAAGGATATCTGGACAAGGATATTCATTGCAGCAGAGGGCTGAAAACACCCTAAAAGTCCACCAACTAATAGGTTAAGTGTTGGCAACAGAAATCTACGTCTCTGTCCCTGACCGGACCTCCTGTACCACTTCCACTCTTTCACTCCTCTCCAGCCACTCTGGCCTCCTTGGCCCTTCAATGTGCCAGGCATATTCCTACCTCAGGGACTTTGCACTTGCAATCCCTCTACCTGAGCCATTCTTCCCTCGGATCTCCATTTCTGCAGTAGGCAGCTTCCAGGATGACCTAGAATGATCCCTGCCTCATTGTGGAACCATTATGAAATCCCCTCCCGTAGAGTATGGGCTGGACTTACTGACAGAATACGGATGTGATGGAATGTCACTTCTGATGTTAGGTTTGAAAAACACCGTGGCTTCCATAGTGGGCTCTCTCTCGCTCTTTCCTTAGCATTATTCTCTTTCTCTTTCTTGGATCACTTCTGCTGGGGGAAGCAAGCTGCCCTGTTGCAAGCAGCCCTTGGGAGAGGCCCAGGAGGCCAGCCGGTGAGGAACCGAAGCTGCCACAACTGTGAGCGGGAGCTTGTACGTGGATGCTTCAGCCCCGGGCAAGCGCTGAGGTGACCGCAGCCCTGACCCACAGCTTGACTACAGCCCATGAGAGACTTGGAGCCAGAGTTTCCAACTCACCTGTGCCTAGATCCCTGACCCACAAAACTGCTAAGTTTGGAGGTAACTTGTTACACATCAATAACTAACTCAACTTCCTTCAGGTCTCTGCTCAAATGTCTCTTTACCATAATGGCCTCCCCTTATCACAGGATAAAGGATACCCCTCCCCCTCTTTATAGCCCTCATCCCACCTAACATGTCATTCATATATTTAACTATTAAATATCTCTCCATACTAGGACAGCAGCCCCCTGGAACAGAAGTGGTGTCTATTTTGTTCGTTGTTGTGTCTCTAATACCTAGAACAGTGTCTGACACAGAGAAGGTGCTCAGTAAACACTAAGTTAATAATCCACAAGTGAAAAAGAATTGGGTAGATTAAAATATACTGACCAAAAATGACCCCCAAGAAATATTAAGTGAAAAAAGCAAGGCACAGAAAAATGAGTGCACTGTGCTACCACATACACATTTTTAATTTAGAACAATTCCAGAAGGATAGACAAGAAACCAGTAGAAGTAGAAGAAGGTTTCACAAGGAGAGGTTACCTGACCTGGGGCTTGAGGGGAAGGCAGGAAAAAGGAGGAACAGTGTTTCAGGCAGGACGAACAGCATGGGTCTCCTCTGGAGACCAAGATGGTGCCAGCCCAGGTGCTCTTCTGTGAGGCGGCCCAGCCCACCCCCACGCACTGGGCTCCTGGCCATACTCAGCTCCAGTCCAGCAACCTCCTGGGACCTCCCTCAATTCTACTCTGCTCCTGATCCACCTAGTGCCTTCCCGCTCCCAGCCTGGACCTCAGAGCCTGTTTTCCTGAACTGGATTCATTAAGACAGAATCATCCACAGGCCCCTTTGGCTTTAGACCCTCCTGGTCACCCTGGTAAGTGTGCCCTGCCCCAGCACCACCTGAGATCCAAGCCCTGGCTATTCTGTCTGCTGGACTGGGGGCCTTACAGGCCTTCTCAGTCCCTGGGGGATTCAAAAACTGCCACAGGGTGGAGATGGAGGCAAGAAGTGGCCACACTGGATAAACACGAACAGCAGGGCTTGGATGCGCCATCCCCCCACCCCCACTTGTGCTATAACCACAGGCAGTAAATGTATTTTCATAGCCTCTCTCTCTCCCTCTGTCTCTAGTTCTGCCTCCCTGTGTCTCTATTCCCTTCTCTGTTTTTCCCTGTACGTCTGTCTTTCCCTCTATCTCTGTCTCTGTGTATCTCTATGATTCTCTGTCTCTGGGTATCTCAGACACATCCTTCCATCTCTGTGTCTGGCCTGGTCTGTGTCCCCCTCCCCCCTTACACGAACTACATACATTGCCACCGTAACGCCAAATCACTGCTACCAGGAAAATCCCCAAACTGCCGTGGTATTACCAATTCTCTTATAGTCATCATCCTGACAGCCAACCACATACCAGGCACTGTGCTAAGTACTCCGTACATGCTCACTGCTTAAATCCTTGCAACCCGCCCATGTCGTAGGGACCAATGGTGGGACTATTACCTTGTTTGGGGAAGGGGTAACTAAGGCTCAGGGAAAATAGAGAACTTGACCAAAGACACACGGTGGTAAGGTGAGAATCCACACCCAGGCAGTCTGCCCTTCATCCCCACACAGCATGGCTTCCCACCTTCACTTGTCCAAACCTGTGATGGAGCACTTCTTAGGGAGTCTCCAGCCTCCCAAGAAGGGAACTCAGGCTGATAAATGTAGTTCATGCCTAACCCCCCTCCATTCTCTATTGGTGGCCCACCCTGGCCCAGGGGCAAGGAGACAGCTGCCTATTTGAGGGGCAGGAAGACTCTGATGTCTCCCCCATGTACCCCTCCCACATACAGGCACCCTCTTAGGTTACTGTAAGGCAGGTTCTGTTACAACCATCTCATGAACAACCATTTATGAAGGCCACCTTCGTGTCAGGGACTAGGGATATAGGAAAGACAAGAGAGATCCAAGCTTGCCCGAAAGCTCACACTCTAGCAAGGAGAGTGCCTGGCATATGGGTGACATGGAGGGAAACCCTGGGAGTAGAGGGTGGACCTGGCTTCTGCCTCAATCAGTCAAGGACATACAGACTAGTGAGCCCTGGCCATCAGGTGTCCCAGGAGTCCCTTGGAGTCTCATTCCCTCCAGCTAATGGAAAACTCCAGTCCCGACACTAAGTCCTTCCCCCTGTCCCCCCACCCCCTTGGCCCCCCACCACGTGTAAGAGACTTCAGAGCATGGCCTTTTCCTCTACAACAGGGCTTTGGCCTCAATTTCCCTGCCTAGTTCCCTCCCCAACCCACTTGCCTGGGGTTGCATCCTATGCCTGTACAGCCCCCGGCTGGCTGAAGTCCTGGCCACTGCGGAGAGGAGGGAGCATGCTCTTCCTGAGGATCTCCTGCTGCCCTGCCCACTGACCTGGTTTCCACCTAAGGTCTCGTGCCCAGGCCTTGCCCCACTTTGGCCCCACACCCAGGCCCTGCCCCTTCCTGGCCATACCTCCAGGACAACTTCCACCATGCCCCTCAGAGTCCAGCCTTCCCTTGGACCAGTGCCTGGGCCTCTTCATGTTTCCCCTGAGACCAGGCCCCTGAGCACCCAGCAT